CGGGGTCGCGGGAGGGGCCGGGGCTGCTGCGGGGTCACGTGGGGCGGTAGGCGGGGGCCTGGAGCGCCCCAAGTGGGCCCCCACTGGGTGCCCCCCCGTCGGGGGTAGGGGCGTCCGGGGTCACCAGGAGTGTCCCCCAGGTGTGGAGAGACCGCGGGGCACGGGGACTCACTTTGGGACCCCTCCCTTTATGGTACAGAAGGGCTTCACTCCTGAAAGCCCAGGGTCCGCCCTCCTGGAGGAGGGTCTTGCTTTGCCCCCTTCTGCCCATCAAGGGCGAGTCGTGTTTGCCCCCTGCCTGGTCCCCTTTCTTCCCGTCCACCTGGAAGAAGGGGTTTTGGGGGAGAAGCAGCCCTTCCCCTCGAGCCTGCACAGTGGAAAGGAGGCCCCTTTGCTGCGAGAGTAGACGAGTACTTAGGCGCCTTGGGGAGGAAGATGAGGCGGACTCGGCGCTTCCCGGGACTTGGAAGTGGTCTGTCTCTCTGGGGCGGAGAGGAGGGTCCCACCAGTGCCGTGAGGACTGTGGCTACATGGAGTTGTCACATGCTGTGTGGCCGACCTCTCCAGCTCCATTTGCAGGCCCGAATGGGAGGAGGCTCACCTAGCACGGGAGGACTTTGCCGCCTTCAGGAAGCGGGCTGGCTCAGGCTGATGAGATTGTTCAGGGCAGTCCCTATCCCTCCAGGGCAGGGTGGGCGGCCCGTTAGGTGGACGCCCTCTCCCCACCCAGTGCGCTTTTCCCACCTCTGCAGTGGGGTAGGGCTCTAAGGTTGATCCTGTCACCCAGGGGACCACCCTGATTCAGAGACACGATTGGTGCTTTGTGTGAGGTGGGGAAAAGCCCCATCTGGGCAACCTGAGCGCTTTGCCTCCTGGGCAGTGTTGCAGAAGGAAACCCGGAGAGGTGGAAAGATAGAGCCTTTAACTTACTGTTTGCTTTTTCCAAGAACTTGAAAGAAGCCTGCAGACACCCTGGTCTTAAGTTTGTTGATTTTGAGTTTGCTCGAAGTTGTTCTTTGGGTGCCTGAGATGTAGCATGTATTCCAAAAGGCCTTTGTTTTGGTCAAATGAAAATTTCAGATGCCTTGAAACAAAAACTTGTCCTAAGATTTCTTCAGCAGGTGCCAAGAGTGCACGATGAGCCATAAGGGGTAGCTGTGCTTTTCAGCCTCCAAACTGTCTGGTTCTCTGCCCTGGGCCTCCAGGGTGAGGAGGGAGGGGTCTGAAAGTTCTGGCTCATGGAGCTGACTTGAGGACCTTTTCCCACACCTGAGCTTTTGTTTCTTTCACCCCCAGAACCAAGCCTGGGTAGATTACCCCATGGAGGACTCAAGTAAAAACTCTTCCCAGAACATTTGGCCCATTCCTAAATTGGGGAGGAAGCTACTCCCAGACAAGACCAGATGGCACAACCTAGTGGGTTTCCCTGAACTGGGGTGATGAGGGAAGTGGATGTGAGTCCCAGAGGGGCTTGGTTTGGCAGTAATTCTTCTGTGTTTACTACTTTATTTCTAGATTGCAGCCAAAATTGGAGGTGATGCTGCTACCACAGTGAACAACAGCACTCCTGATTTTGGTTTTGGGGGCCAGAAGAGGCAGTTGGAAGATGGAGGTAACTACCTGCTGGGAGGAAGTCTGGGGAGTGAGAGTGCGGAGCCTTTGTTTGAATGTGTTGGGGGTAGGGGGCACGCTACTGCTGTTTGGGCTTTTATACCCTCGGCAGTCCCAGCTTTGTTCATTCTTTTTGTTCACTCTGCCATCCTGGGGTATCAGGTGGCTGAGAGGAGGGCACATTAATTGTGACTGGGTCCAAGTTGTAAGTTTTCAAGCTCTTTCTTTCCCTTACTGCAGGCTGGGGAAAGGCTCTGTTTTACCAAGGCCCCACATACAGTATGGGGTTGACTCTGCTGCATGTGGCTTTACCTGCAGAAGCCACAATGACAGGCTGGTGGTTATTTCATCTCCATCGCTTTCATCCAGATTCCCTCCCTTCCTGGGACAGGTCTAGGTCTAAACTAGAAGGACTCAGTGTGTGGTCATCGTTGTTCACCTATAGTAGAGAGCTTTTTTAAACCTGGGTATTGGCAGGATTAATGAATTTTGGCTATTTTCTGCGATCAATTGATTGGTCTCTTCTCTCCTGTCTTGGCTTTCATATTAGGGGTGGGGGAAATGGAATGGTTTGCCAGGACATGTGGCACCAGCATCAGATTTGAGGCAGCTGTGGGTGGGTGGGTGCTGCATCTGACATATCCTCTTTCTTTTGCAGACCAACCAGAGAGCAAGAAACTGGCTTCCCAGGGAGACTGTAAGTCCAGTGGGTGATACAAGCAGAGGGCAGTTTCAAGGTCTTAAGAAGCTCTTAGAAATGGGGAGCTAGAAGCATGGAGCATGAAGTAGTTCTCCTTAGTGGCAGCTCTAGGTGTTCATCATCTGGGCTTCGTGAGCTTTAGGGATCCTAAAAAAAACCCCTAAAATTGGGGCAGAGAGAGTGTGTGTATATGTGTGTGCGTGCACGTGTGTTCTGCTATGAAGAGGGGTCTGTGCTGGTTCCAGAGTGCTGCTGGAGAACCTTGGGGCCAGTAGTGTGTGGGGTCCCCTAGAGGAGCAGGGCCAATCTCTCCTTTGGGTTTTTTCTCTGCAGCTATCAGTTCTCAGCTTGGACCTATCCATCCTCCCCCCAGGTGAGCTGTGACTTAAAACATTTCTGGTATTTGTCTCTCAGTTGTTTCTGACTCGTCTTAGTGACGTGGGAAAGAGGTCTGTCTGGGACTGCACCATGAACGGTTTTGTCTCCATTCCTGGTCACCCAGAGAGGGGGCCGATGGCGTGACTATCTGTGCTTGATTGTCTGCAGGGCTCTGGGCAGTGGGCTGGGGCAGTTAGCTGGAACCATGAAGGATGGGTTTGGCATCCTGTTGCTCCCCTCGTTGCGGTGGGGATGCTTGGAAACTGGCATTATCCCCTCAGAGAGGCTGTGGAAGAACCTTGGTTTTCTCTGCAAAAGCTCTTCCCTGGGAGCTAAAGGAACCTGGGGAGTTGTCCCATTGACTTGAGTGAATCTGATGAAGAATTATTTGTTGAGAACTGCATTGTTGGCTTTTTTTTTTTTTTAAAGTTGACTGGTAATATTTATTGGGAAATAATGAAAGATAAGTCAGATTTTTTTATTTACAGTTCACAGATATGAGGACTTTGTCAGATTGCTATAAAAATATCCCCATACTCTCTTGCTCTGAGTCAGTGAGTCAGCTAGGGTTCAGAGGCTGAACTGCCTCAGAACAAGTCTCTTACCTCCATGAGCAAGGTGAGGTCTGAGGGGAGGGCCTGGTGACCAGCTGCGGCAGGAGTGAGCCCTGTGGTATTGTCAGACTCCACTAAGGCCTTTGGGGGCTTAGTGCCCATGTCATGGGATACAAGCTCAAGAGTCAGAAACATGGCTCTGGGGGACTTTTTCTCAGGAGACTACCTCTCTCGCTTTTCCAACTTCTGCTTCTTCCTTGAAACTAAATTTTCGTTATTTCTCTTTGTAGAACTTCAATGACAGAAGAGTACAGGGTCCCAGATGGCATGGTGGGACTAAGTGAGTGTGGGTTGGGGACGCCCCTCCTCTGCCACGCCCCTTCCCCTTGGGACTGTGTCCTGGGAGGCCCCACCAGCCCAGATACCTTTGGTTTGATATGGGAAAGGCCTCCCATGTCCTGCTCTCACTCCTCCCTGAGGGGGGCAGAGCTCTCTGAATGCCTCCTGCCCCCCATTATCAGTGGGGACAGGAGCCCCCACCAGACAGATCCTGCCAGCCAGAGTATCAACTCCAGCCTCCTCTTCAGTCTTTGTTTTTCTCCTTTCCACCTAGTCATTGGCAGAGGTGGCGAGCAGATAAACAAAATCCAGCAAGATTCAGGCTGCAAGGTCCAGATCTCTCCAGGTAGGAGAACCAGATTTGTGCCGTGAGGGGAGCTGGTTTGGGCTTGTGGTCTTGGCACTGTTCCTTTTAGCAATCATCTAACTTTTGCCTTAACTGGCTAAACAGATGTAAAATGGGCTGGTGACTGTTCATTGAGAGCAATTTTTATGCTCTCAATGTGCTAGGCCTGGCGTTGTATCTCAACTTGAGCACTCCTTGTAACTTTTGGTTTACCTTTTTAATAATTGGGGGTGGGGGCTGAGGTGGAAGATCTAGAATTGAAGTCCGTAGCCTCATTTCAGACTTCTGCTCTGTACTATTGCATTAAATTGTTGCTTAGACACCTAATGAAACGCAGGTGGGGATTTTGGAGGGAGGGGGTGGCAGAAAGAATCATTTTGGGACGGGCTTAGGTGTCATCCCTAGTTCAGGCTGCCCATCTGCAAGTGCCTGCCTCTCAGCATTTTTCAGGACTTGTTCCAGTGCCTGAGTCTCCTTGACTGTGGAGGGTGCTCCTGTAATTATCAGGACTGGTGGAATGGCCCAGATTGGGGATTTCCTGAAATGTCCCTCTCATTTTACAGCGTCTTTTTCCCTAAAACTTGGGCCTACCTTACTGGACTTTTAAGTTTCCCCAATCTTTTGGTCTTTCATAGAGTGGCTCCAGGGTTCTTGGGGGGAGGTAAAATGAATTGTCAGAATGCTAAGTGATGGCAGAAGTGGCTGTTGATTGCGCTGGAAGTTTCCTCATCTCCATGGAAGGCCTTTCCAGTGTTCACAGGCCAGGGCAGACATGGACCCTATTTCCTCTTTTCTTCAGACAGTGGTGGCCTACCTGAGCGCAGCGTGTCCTTAACAGGAGCCCCAGAATCTGTCCAGTAAGTCCCTAACTGAGGCTGTTGTGACTAGGGGAATGGGCAGAAGCCTTCTTGATCCTTTCAAAAATTGGGGATGGCATCTCACATCATGTCCCTCAATACCCTACCCTCTCAGGAGGCTATACTGACACATTGCTTTTCCTAAACCGCCCCAGTCTGGCTAACTGGACCCTCTTCTTGTCATCTGGCCAGACACAGATGTTAGCGTTCCTTTCTTCCTTTTTCGAACTGGGTGGGGCTGCCAAGCCAGAAGGAGTCGTCTTTTTCAAGTGACACTGTTATTCTCCCCTTCCCAGAAAAGCGAAGATGATGCTGGATGACATCGTCTCCCGGGGTCGCGGGGGCCCTCCAGGACAGTTCCATGACAATGCCAATGGGGGCCAGAATGGCACAGTGCAAGAGATCATGATCCCCGCAGGGAAGGCTGGCCTGGTCATTGGCAAGGGCGGGGAGACCATCAAACAGCTGCAGGTGAGGGCATAGAACAGAGGTCAGGCACTTTGTAGCCCCAGGAAAGTTCCCTTCTGTGGTCCTGTGGCCACATCCCCACCCGTTGCTTTGCCCCAGAGTCCTACCCCTTTTGGTCATGCCTGACCTCCATCCCTGAGTGCATCAGCCCTAAAAAGTCTTTGGGGAACTCAGCACTGATTATCAACACTGGTTGTAAAGGAACGAGCTGGAGTGAAGATGATTTTAATTCAAGATGGTTCTCAGAATACAAATGTGGACAAGCCTCTGCGCATAATTGGGGATCCTTACAAAGTGCAGGTGAGCATGTACTGGGTGGAATGGTGGGGTTTCTGGCAGAGGGATGGTGGGAAGAGGGAACAAAGGTCTGAATTTACTAGAGGCTTGTGTGAATGGCCTGAAAGTAGAGGTTTCAGGGATTCTGATGTCAAAATTAGCCTAGAACTAATACTGTACTGAGCTACTTCCCAGTTGTATGGGCGCAAACCAGTGGCCTAAATGCTGATCTGTTTCTTCGTCTGGAAAATGAGGGGTTTCTGTGCTAAGCTCAGCCCACGTATATTGTCCTTAGTTTAGGCCCATGACCCCTGGGGACACGGGAGGCAGGGTGGAAGACGGGCGCGTGGCCTTGCCTGTGTGCCCACGGTCTGTGTGTTTGCAGCAAGCCTGCGAGATGGTGATGGACATCCTCCGGGAGCGTGACCAGGGCGGCTTTGGGGACCGGAATGAGTACGGGTCCCGGATTGGTGGGGGTATTGACGTGAGTGCTGGCCTCCCTGAGGAGCGGGACGGGATCACACTACCAACAGCTATGGGGACTGAGCCCACATGATTCTTCTGACTCAGGTGCCAGTGCCCAGGCATTCTGTTGGCGTGGTCATTGGCCGGAGTGGAGAGATGATAAAGAAGATCCAGAATGATGCCGGTGTTCGGATACAGTTTAAACAAGGTCAGGGTCTAACCCAGGATGTCAGTAGGGGGTGTGAGTGTGCTGGTTGACAGTGACCTCTTAGGTCACCATTAGGGTCCTCAGCTCTTTGCTGTGTCTCCAAGGCAGGCCACTGGAATATGTCTGTCTCTGACCGCCTCTGTGGACAGCCTTAGTTTAGGCCCATGACCCTGGGGACATGGGTGACAGAGGTGGGTTACAGTGGAACAGCACCCTTGGGAGTTAATGACAGCCAACTTGCCAAGTTCCCACCAGGTGATCAACCTGGGCTGGATCAGAATACTCTGCCTAACCCTGGGTTTCTGCCAGCTATAAGTCTCAGAGCAGTAGGTCTGTAGCGGGACAAATCCCTGTTTCTCCTTATGGTGGTGTCATACGAAGAAGGATTCAGCCACTACCCTGCCATATCTGGTCAGCTTCAGAGAACTTGAGCCCATCTGCCTCACTCCCAGAGTACAGTTTTGGTGGCATAACATCCACCCTGAAGAGGCAGTGTGGTGATGGAATTGTTTCTTTTTCGATTTGTCTTAATATTGTCTGGGTGCTGACTTCAGATGACGGGACGGGTCCTGAGAAAATAGCCCACATAATGGGGCCCCCAGACCGGTGTGAGCATGCAGCCAGGATTATCAATGATCTTCTTCAGAGCCTCAGGGTAGGTGGCACGGGGCATGCTGGGAGGGGACTGACCTCTGCCTCAGGAAGTCCGGGGCCAAACTGACTTCTTGCACTCATCCTCCAACTCCTCCCTGTCTTGCAGAGTGGTCCCCCAGGCCCTCCAGGGGGTCCTGGCATGCCTCCAGGGGGCCGGGGCCGAGGAAGGGGCCAAGGCAACTGGGGCCCTCCTGGTGGGGAAATGACCTTCTCCATCCCCACTCACAAATGTGGGCTGGTCATCGGCCGAGGTGAGTAGGGCCCTGGCACACCATCCCTCACCCATTCTCTCCTCCTCCTGCTCTCCTTTCATTGCCTGTGGCACCCTTGGCAGGTGGTGAGAATGTGAAAGCCATAAACCAGCAGACAGGAGCCTTTGTAGAGATTTCCCGGCAGCTGCCACCCAATGGGGACCCAAACTTCAAATTGTTCATCATCCGGGGCTCGCCCCAGCAGATCGACCATGCCAAGCAACTCATCGAGGAGAAGATTGAGGTGGGCTCAAGGACAGGTTCTCTGGGATCCTTGATTTAACTCTTCCCTCCCTCCCTCCATCATTGACCTTTTCTACTTCTTCTTCCCTCAGGGTCCCCTCTGCCCAGTCGGACCAGGCCCTGGCGGACCAGGCCCTGCTGGTCCCATGGGGCCCTTCAACCCTGGACCCTTCAATCAGGGGCCACCAGGAGCTCCCCCTCAGTGAGTATCTCGTTTCCTGGGATTTGGGGTAATAGCACGCCCCACTTCCATACACTGCTAAAAAGTCTAGCCTTGCATTTTAGAGGCACAGATTGCGTGCTCTGACCCAGCCCTGTCAGATGGACACCCTGAATTGAAAGTGTGGCCTGGGTATTGACCCTTGTCTCCTCCTCATTCTAAATCCACCTCACACACAGACATCTTCCCACACCTGTTGGATTTGGGAGATTTTTCTCTGCCTTTTGCTTTGCGGCCCCACCCAGGCAGACCTAGGATTGTGCCCCCTCCCAAGCTGCAGCCAGCCTTGCTCCATTAGGAGAATAACCACTGCTCACGTGTACCTCCTCTTCTTCCTTCAGTGCTGGGGGACCCCCTCCCCATCAGTACCCACCCCAGGGCTGGGGCAATACCTACCCCCAGTGGCAACCGCCAGCTCCTCATGACCCAAGTAAGTTCTGCTGAGTGAGGGGAGAGGGTGGCCCTGGATTTTTGAGGGGGAAAGGCAGGCTGGCTCCCTGGGCAGCCCCTCAGCCTCTCTCCCCTTCTGCAGATAAAGCTGCTGCCGCTGCTGCAGACCCCAACGCTGCCTGGGCTGCCTACTACTCACACTACTACCAGCAGCCCCCAGGTCCTGTGCCTGGCCCTGCGCCGGCCCCTGCGGCCCCACCTGCCCAGGGCGAGCCGCCTCAGCCCCCACCCGCCGGCCAGTCGGACTACACTAAGGCCTGGGAAGAGTATTACAAGAAGATTGGTGAGTGTGAGGCTGCCTCGGGAGTCCAGTCAGCCAGAGACAACGGGGGCACCTGCCCGAGTTCTTGTTCTAGCTCTGAACTCGGTGCCGCTTTCTGCAGGCCAGCAGCCCCAGCAGCCTGGAGCACCGCCTCAGCAGGACTACACGAAGGCCTGGGAGGAGTACTACAAAAAGCAGGGTGAGTCTGTGACGCCCCAGGAGTCAGGGCCAGGCTGCTTACACCAGCACGATCCTCCCCCCTAACTTGTGCACTTCCTCCTCATCCCCCACAGCTCAAGTGGCCACTGGAGGGGGTCCAGGAGCACCTCCAGGCTCCCAGCCAGACTATAGTGCCGCCTGGGCTGAATATTACAGACAGCAGGCCGCTTACTACGGACAGACTCCCGGTCCCGGCGGCCCCCAGCCACCACCCACACAGCAGGGACAGCAGCAGGCAAGTGGGAACTGCCACCCTCCTCCTCCTCCTTTCTCCTTCCAACCCCCGGCCACCGTCCATCCTGCCTTAGTGGGTAGCGCCGGAAATCCCTTCCCCTGCGGGGTGTGTCCTTGATGCCTGCAGCGGGGGCCGTGTGGCCAGAGGTCTCCGGGAGTCCCCGCGAGCCGGGGAAGTATGCGCTGGGTCCAGAGGTTAAACGAAGAGGCCTCCCTCCGCCGGCCCGCTTGTTCCTGTGTAACGCTGTCGTGATGCTGGGGGAGAGCTGGAAACGAATACGAGGTGGAACTGTTGAACTGGTGGGTAGTCCTGGGGGTGGGGACAGGCCGGCAGCTCCGACATTGGTCACCGTCCTGGCTGCTAACTCAAAATCTGGCCACTTGGGAAGAAAACAGCTATTTTTTCCCCTTTCTGCATTACTTTTTTTTTGGGTTTTGTTCTTTTTATTTTTAAACCCATGATCTTTTCCCCTCGTGTCCAAATGACTGTACGTTGCAGGTGACCCCGGTGTGGGTCGGCCCTGGCTCTGGCGGGGATGCAGGTAGCTGAGCAAGGGGACCAGCCCCAAGGGCTCAGCCTCTGCTCTGTGCCCGCCTCTGTGTCCCGGTCTTGTCTGTGAAGTGGGCATGATGGTCATTGCCACCTTCCAACCTACCTCACAGGGGTGTTGTGGGGACACCATGATATGAGACTGTTGATGTTGTGATGCGCCGGGAGCCACCCACCTTCTTGAAGACAAAGGGCACCCCTCTCCCCTCTGCACCCTGAGCGTGCTTCTCTCTTGCTCTCCCCCCCTTTCCCCTTTCTGAGGCCCCTGCTTCTCTCTCCTTCCTTGTCATTCTTTTCCTCCTGCATCAAGGAGCCAGTCTGACTCAGCCGAGTTCCTGGAGCACTTAACTAGACAGCTGCCACTTGCTCTGCAGCCTGAACTCGCCACAGGGCCAGAGTGGGCTTCAGGCCCTCTGCCATTGCCCCCTAGATTCCAGCCCCCTCTCTCCCTCCCCGGAGTGACCAATTCCTATCTCTCCCTCTCCGCAGGCTCAATGAATCGAATGAATGTGAACTTCTTCATCTGTGAAAATCTTTTTTTTTTTCCATTTTGTTCTGTTTGAGGGCTTTTTTGTTTGTTTATATTTTTTTCTGTTTGTTTGGCGAGAGAGCGATGGCCATAGGGGGTGCCAGGGAGCTCTCGCTGTGAGTGGCTCAGTGGTTGTGGCACAGGTGTGGCTGGGCTCTCGCTCTCTCGCTCATTCTGTGTCTCTCACATGCTTTTTTTTTTTCTTTCAAAATTGGGATCTTTCATGTTGAGCCAGCTATAGAAGATAGTGAGAACTAAGTCTCTGCAAAAAAAAAAAATAATAATAATAATTAAAAATAAAATTAAAAAGGTGATCAGCCCTAAAAGTATTTACCTTTGGAAAAGAATGCATTTATGTTTGCAAATTGCTAGAACATACAGGAAGACCAGTGAAGCTGCAAAGTGCACATACAATATATCTGAAAGTAATGAATCTTATTACCTCAAAAGAGATCAAGAAGGGTAATTTGACATGTTTCAAGTAAAAATTAGCTAAAAAGCTTTGAACTCAATCATCCATCGATTTAAAGGAATCAAATGCTTTCAGGATGAAGGGCTGTTTGTCATCTTGATTTCAGGAAGCCAAGAGCCAAACAAAATTCATTCCACATTCTACGAGATCATACAAAGCAGTAACTTTTATGTTGGGTTCTAAGGAATTTCATACGGTGGGAGCAACTACAGTTCATCAAGGCTAAAATTTACATTTGGAGGAAATGGCTTTCTGTAGGTTTACTTTTCCCATGCTAATCTAACAAAATGTGCAATCAGTTCCCAAGGTGATAGCCTCCGTTACAACAGTGTTCCTGGCTGTGTTTGCAGAGAAAGAAAATGTTAACTGTCCTGTTCATTAGCTGGACATTTCTGTATTAGTTACACTGAAATATTTACTTATAATAAGAATCCAAGTAAATTATTACAGCTTCACTTGGAACCTAAAAGAATATCACACTTCAGGCAACTAATAATAAAAGTAAAATTTACATTTCTCTTTTTAAAAACAGAAGGAATGATGAGGCTACACGAACAGAAAGCATCGGATGTGAACCATTTGGTAGTTTCATCACTTGAAACTTACAAAAAAGATAACCCAATGCCTATTTAGGCTATTGCAAGGTCAGCAGAATTAGTGTGATGAGTTTCACTGAATGAGTAGTCAGAAATTAAATGCTCAAAGGCATCCATCCATCAAAGGAATCCTTTTAAAGAAAAATTCTGATGGGCCCAAAGGGACTTAAGAAATTGCGGGGTAGGCCATGCATGGGCAGTGGTAGAAATGGCTACAAAAAGAGGCAGAATTCTGCTTCAGGTGGGACCTCTCTCTGACTCTGCTATGCTGGTTTCCTGTGACGGTATCCTAGACTACACAGCTGTTTTGAGAGCTGTCTCTACAACTTTTCTTCCTCCAAAAAGGAAGTTTCTGAAAGACCTGTATTTCTCCATTGTTCTTCATCCTTGACCTATGCGAAAGGCATGGAGTCCATCCCAAGTAACAGACTCATTCTTTCCCTCCATTCTCAGGCTAAGCCTCTTTTGGTTGCTTGTGTTTCCCTGCCAAAGAAGGAACCAGATACAACAGAGCTCAGCTAAAGGAGACTCAAGAATGCTTGACATAACTTTTACAACCAGCTGCAGAGGGAGTTAGAATGGCTCCTGTGACCCTCTTTGAAGGGAAAACTTATGTAAGATTCCTGTTAAATTTGCTCACAGTCTGTAGAAAATCAGTCAACCAGTTGAGTAAATTACTTTTGTTCTCACTTGAGGGATATTGACTAAGAATTCTAGGTCGTATTCTTCTGGGAGACTGATAATTCAACCAGCGCACACAGGCAAAACTAACACAGTTGTTGAAAATATTGAAAATATTTGGTATCCTTTGAAAACAAACTGCTGTCTGAACTACTTCTCCTAGCTCCTCTCTCGACACTGACCTCTGCCTGTT